CCTCCCTCTATTCTTTTTGTTGTTGTCTTGGCTGGCCTTGTCGTGAGAATTTTCAACGAGCCAACTGATTTCAGAATTGCAATGGCAGTATTCTACTAAGTTGTCGCACCAAAGACGTCCTAAAAATTAGGTCTCTGGAGGATTTCAACGTTAGTCGCTTGTCATGGGAGAGTCTATTAATGTATTTTTTAAATACATGTATCTCCTAGCCTGCAGACCCAGTTAGGGAGCACAAGCAATCAAAGGGAAGCAATTAAACTATCACGAAATTATAATGAAGAATGAAAGACATAATTGTTTGCGTTTTATTCTCGACTAAATCTAATTCATTCTCAGTCAGATTTTTTTTCCACATCAGTAACCTCTTGGCGACGATTGGCTAGTAGCCTACATAATATAGTGTATGGTGGCGGAAGCATTATTTTAGTTGCGGCAGTGGCAGTATCAATAGCAACAGCAGTAGCGACTGCATAATAAATATATATATGAGGTAATTGAGTGATCAGACTTGTTCTGATTAGCCCACCGGTCTCTGTCAGCCGCTTTGGACAGGGCACGCCTGTGAGGAACATAATTATTATTTCCATGCCCCAAAGGTATATAAACCAGAGGGTTGTGGGGGGGGGGGGGATACCCCCAAAGTACATGTACGTGTATTCAGAAACAAGCCCGCCACCCCCTGCGGCTGCTTGCTCTTCTTCTAGTCCTGGTGACACTTATTCTGAGTATGTTAGAGTGACTGTCATAGCAGAGGCTACAGTCGATTTTGCCTTATTGCACCCTTCTGGCACCATTTCCCGACTGCCAAACCCACTGGACCTGGTGTCAATAATCTAGCCAAGGGCCTACCCCTTCTTGGCTAGGCCTAGGGGAAGGTGTCGACCGTGAAGAGTTACTTCCCATGTCCTCAGCTCCTGCCGCCGGGTCCGACCGCATTCCTCTTCCGGTTTGGTAACATGGCAAACGTGTGATTCTGCTGAAAATACTCAAGATAAACTCTACATTTATCGCCCGCTACATTTGTTTTTTCCATGAACTGTCATTTTAATACTAAGTAGGTCGATTAAGAATATTTTATTCCACGCAAAATGAGGCAGTAGAGTGAGTTAACACCCTTAGTCAACCTTTCGATTGCCCGAACAAGTGAAATCGAAAGTTGCGATTGCACCACCATCAAACGCTGATTTTGTCATGGCGGAACAAACAGCTGTGAGTACATTCGACCAGCGTAATGATTGTAATGTTTCTTGTGTTTTAGTCCAGGTTACATGCAGAAATATAAAAGTATTTGGTTCACTGAAGAATGAAGTTGACCTTTCAAGTAAAAAAGAGTGGTATGGATTAACTGAAAGTAACGTACAGTCAGTTCAAGCCCGCCACCCCCTGCTGCTGCTTGCTCTTCTTCACCTTCCCTTCAGACTTCAGATAGACAGATTCTAATCTAGATCTAGATCTAGATTATCTTGATCAAGATCTAGATCTAGTCCTGACTGTTAGTCTTAGTCTCTTATTTTTTGTCTTATTCTTTCTAGTCTAGATGTAATCTAGTTCTAGAGTGTGACTGTAATGGAGCCGACTGTATAGGCCTAAAAATGTTGGCCGGCTCTGATTTCTGATCTAGACTAGATATATTAGATCTATCTCCGAATGCTCGGGAAAATAAACTTGAACTCTATTTCTCCGAACAGTTTCCGATCTCGAGATTTGTTGATAATTTGCGAATGGAGTCGTCTGTGTGTGTGTATGTATAAGGTGTGAACGAGGCGGCGGAGGGGCGTGGTTTTCATTTTTGTTTACATTCAATAAGAAGGATTTTAGTGTTTGTTTTTGGGGTGACTTCTCGCAGCACTTTTTGAAGGCATGTTCAAATTAAGTATAATAGTCCGGAAACGTTTCCCCAACCACAACTGAAGATCTGAACATTCAAGACATGCTCTAGATTCTAGCTCTAGAAATTTAATTCGATGCAAAAAAATGCTTCTTCCCTGCCCTCGCAGAATGGAAGAATGAAAGATGACGCCTAAATCTCACAACCAAATGACAAAAAAATCTAGAGAACAGCAAACCATTCGGAGAAATAGAGATCAAGTTTATTTTCTCGAGAGGCATGATGGTAGATCTAGATCTAGTCCTAGACAGGCTGGCCTATCACACGATGCGTTCTGCTTAAGATGTGTGCGTGCCACACTCTCCCCACTCATTCAATCCGGCCTTCATTGTTGGCACACATGGGCTCTCCCATTCTTTGTTTCGCAAGATAACCAACAAGTTTCTCAACTGGTGAGGTTTTACATGAATAAATGGCCTCTATGCGCTGTGCACAGCTGCAGCTGCATTCCGCTATGCCGACTCGCGTGTTTGTCTGATTGCGTAGAATCTAGCACAGTATTTTATTTACAAAGATAGAGTAAGGAAAAAAAACGGGGTTTTAGAAAATGTTTTTATAACAGACTTCTCATTATTTCAGGACTTATTATAAGTGGATTCCACTGTAACAAAAAGAAATAAACAGATCATCAAACTCTTAGATTAGTCCTAGATCTACTTAATTTTTTTTTCCTTGAATTTTATTACTGGATCCATTATAACGAGAATCCTGCTATAACGAACTTTCGCACCAGTCCCCTACCTCTCACTATAACAGGATTCCACTGTATTATGAAAGAAAAAGTGTTTAATTCTATGAATCTTGCCAATAGTTTAGAGTTTTTGTTGAAAAGGGTGCAGCCTTTGCCGTCCACATATTTCCTATTATAAATATAGTATAGTTAACGTTCGAATCAGTATCAGTGTCATGGTCAAAAGTTAATGATAATGGTTTAGATCTAGATGTGTTTTCTTTGCAGCTCAACATTGAAATAGAAATAGAAAACTGGAACAGTCTAGTGAGATAGATACTAAGTATGGGAAGTTAGCCATGTATGTTCATAGAAAGAATGTGATTTTTAAATTTTATGAATGAGAATGCGTTTCTAAAAAGGCAGTCTCTGGCTTCATAATGAAGGTTTTGTGTCCGATGCTATGATTCCAGAAAACACTTCATCATTAACAGGTGGCAAAGTGTTAATTGGGTTGTGGGTGGTAAGTCTACTTGAGCTGTCTCTTTGGAACTTACTCGCCAAATTATACACATCCAAGGCCTCCTTTCTCTACAGGGCTATCATGTATACATCATTATGGTTTGCTTTGTTGTCATGCTCAAAGACTCAATAAAAACTCATTTTAAGAATTGGGGCCTGTAGTAATTTTTTTACAGAGATGTGAGAAAATGTCAATTGGTTTAAGCTTTCTTAAGGCATGGTGTTTTGGCAGAGAAGTCCTGGTAAGAGATTTGTGAATCTCATATATATATATATATATCTATTAAAAAGATTATTTTGTTCACAATGAATATATATGGCCATCTGTCTGTTCCCCATGAATCACTCTTTGGCCGTCTCTCTGTTCCCCATGAATCACTCTTTCAGTCTTTAGCCCTCATTCTCTGTTCATTTGTTCTTTTATATGGTGGGGCCGGTTCACAGAAGTTCATCTCTCTCATGGACAAGATAAAAGTAAAACTTCAACATGGTGATATATTTCTAGAAAATTAATTTAGAAGAATCAACTCAAATATGCTTCTTTTAAAGTCAATTCTGATCCTTTCTTTGTTTTGTTCACAGAGTTCAGAAGTTCTCAAACGATTTGCCTCAAAGGTTGTAGTTTCAAGTGTCAAAGAACGCACCCAAGCTGTCAATGATGTGGCGGATTTAGTCTACAAAGGAGGTAATTATGTATTCCCTGCTAAAAAATACAGAAAAACACTTTACTTTTCCTGAAATGTTTGAAATGTTGGTAATGGGGGTGTGTACTTTTAGTGCTCTCAATAAAGCAGTTCATGTACCTCCTGTTTTCAGTTTTTTGTTTTGATTACAGTTAAATTCTTATGAATAAACCTTAGCTAGATGGTCAATGTACGACAGCCTGTTATGGAAGGTGTATCCGTCTAGACTGGGTCCTTTTGCGTTCCCCTGTATCAACAATGGAGAATTTAACATTTTGTTAAAAAAATGCATCAGCTCGGGAATCAAGGTGGACACTTCATTATAGCAATCTACAGATCTTTTTAGTTTAAGATATTTTAATAGTGTGCGTATGATTGTTATTAATTTGTGGGCATGTTTTGAAATTTCATTGTTCTTTTTATTTTTGTTTCACCAGCTATTCCTGAAGGTGCTGTCAAAGGCATATTTAGATTTTTGAGCCAAGCAATCGGAGTTTACCGAGATGGCCGCTCTCGTAATGCAGCCCTACGACTGGTTACCACTTTGTCTCAATCACACTTGGAGGCTTCTGTGAAAGCCCTGACTGCAGCTTTAGACGGTATTGCTCAAAGCCAAAGGAAGATTGCAAATCCCAGGTGAGTAATGCTGTCCATAATGTATCCTTCTCTCATGAAATATTGAATGTGTAGGTGATGCAGCTATTTTCAGTACAAATATATTCAAATCATTGGGCTATGTATGTTGGTTTCTGCTTTTTTAAAATACAGAATATTGTTTTTTTGAGTCTGTACTCATATTTGGGCCACTTCACATCTGAAATGATTCAATTTGTGAGTAATTTTTTTGTCTCATTTGTCAGAGTACTAACATTATTGAAACATGGATACTGTGTCATTGTTTCTTTATATAGTGAACGATTGCTTCTCAAGTGTCATTGTCCATTGGAGGGCACTTTTCTTATGAGGTGCTATCATTATCTTTCCTCATACCAAGCTCACACTCAAGCCTTCTGTCACCCCCCCCCCCCCCCTCCCGGGGCGGTGCTACTGACTGGAGTGTCTTTAGGCCATTCCCAAAGGGGGGACATTAACCATGTTCTTATGTACAGTAGAATTGTAATTGTAAATGGACTGATTCATCAATGTCATGCTCATAACTGCCTGAACTGCAACAGGGAACTGCTGCTTTTTCTTTCCTAATCCTTATTATCACATTCTTGTGACCCGCTATTTCCGGGGTGCCTTGATAGTCGAAGCAGACTTTGTGCTGTTGAAACTAGAGAGGTGAGCAGAGTAAGCCTCATTGACTGTAAGGACTTCTCTGTTGACATCCACCCCTTGGCACTCATATGACCTCATGCAGTTGCGAGAGCCGTAGAACCTCTACTAAAAAAAAAACAAGCTGTCTGCAATAAAATTTCATTCATTGGAGGATGACATTTGTCTTCACATAAGATCATCACCAGTTCTGAAATCCTATGTGTCATAATATGTATGTTATATGCTGGCCTGTGGTTTATGACAAATTACTGTGCGTTTATTCCTGATCAGCCGCAGTTCATCCGGTGATGCCCTGCTCGGATTGTCATGGACGTGTGTGGTGTTGAAGCAAGCAATGACTCCCTCCAGTGGGATTGCTTCCTCAGCCTTACAACAGCTGGTCAGTTGTTTAGGTTGCAATTGTGTCACGAGGCAGTGAAATCAGGCTCTCGTCAGTTTTGGGACATGTGAAATTATTGGTATGGTCTTAAAGCTTGTTCATTTGTCTTGCTTTCGATTTTAAAAAATATGTCTATCTTGAAGAGAAGTCGAGATATTTGCGACAGAAGGAGGTGGGGGTTGCCTTGTTTCAGAGTTAAATTTAGAGAGAAATCAGCTGCCAAAGTTTGGTGACTTCCATAGCTTGAGAGTCCTTGGAAACTGAAAATTTACAATTTTTGTGCCTTTAATCAATCTTTTTCTGTAAAATCCACCTTGAAATGTGTTATTAAATGGACAAATGTTGTTGAGCCATAAAATGAAGTTTGATAGAAATAGCCAAACTGGCTGAAAAATGTTGATTTCATTATTTTGACAAGAGCCTGATTTCACCCTGAGGCCTCACATTTTAAGACTTTCATTCCATCGGTGTATGACAATGACAAACTTTATTCATCTCACAGGGAGAAATTTGTCTTGGTTGTGTACAATGGCAGTAGATGTTGCAAAGCTTGGGTGCATGTATCATGTGCTGAAAGAACCCGTTCCATAAAACATTCTCTCTCTCTCACTCACCCATTCCATAAAACATTCTCTCTCTCTCACTCACTCACTTTCTGTCTCTGTCTCTGTCTCTGTCTCTCTCTCTCTCTCTCTCTCTCTCTGTCTCTGTCTCTCTGTCTCTGTCTCTGTCTCTCTGTCTCTGTCTCTCTGTCTCTGTCTCTCTCTCTGTCTCTCATTTGTAGCACTGTTTGTTCTGCAACCTTACTGCAATTGGTAGACCCCCCGGGGCGGTGCCACTGACTGAAGTGTCTTTAGGCCATTCCTAAAGTGGGGCTCGTTCATGCACAGTAGAATTGTAAATGGGCTGATTCATCAATGTCACGCTCATAACCGTGCCTGATCTACAACAGGGAACTGCTGCTTTTTCTTTCCTAATCCTTACTATTGTCAATTTTCCTCTACTTCTTTTGTATGTTTGTCTCACTCTTGTGACCCACTATTTCCGGGGTGCCTTGATAGTCGAAGCAGACTTTGTGCTGTTGAAGCTAGAGAGGTGAGCAGAGTAAGTCTGATTCCCTGTAAGGACTTATCTGTTGACATACACCGTTTGTTTTGAGTTGATATTCAAAGTTACTTAGGTCTCTACCAATTGTTCTTGATGCCTTTCTGATCAACTTGTTTTTATTTCTATGATGTGCTGTCTTCCCAAATTGCTACCATAGCAAAAGATACCAAAATTTTTCATTCTAAGTTTCTATTGTGGTTGTGTAGAATATCTGAAGGATGGAGGGATTCAGATTGAGAGACCCAAGTTTCCTCCGAAAGTACAGCCTTTGATTTACCTTTTTAATGATATTGTTTACATGATTTTGCCATGAAAATTTGTTGTCGATTGTAAGACCAAGATATTTGTATGAATCCGTGATTTCAATTGTTTCCTGTTCTATTACGAGTGGTGGGATTGTTGGTTTTCTCTTCTAAAATAAAAAATTATTCCCTTTGTTTTTGAGAGGTTCTCTTTTAGAAAATTTGAATTGCACCATTTAAAAAACATACACATTTCTTCAAAATACTCTTTTTCATCAAGGTTTATTAATCCAATAATAGCAGAGTCATCTGCAAACTTACTTAAGCATATTATTTTATATTTACTTCAATGATCATTGGTATATGTTGTATACAAAACTGGTGACAAAATACACCCTCGAGGACCACCAGTGTTACAAAGGATTGTGCCTGATTTTGTGTTGTTCAGCTTAACATATTGGAGTCTGCCTGTCAAAAATTCCAGGACTCATGCTGCGATATAATGACTAACTCTCAGACTCAAACGTTTTTGTATGACAATATATGTAATTGTATGAAATGCTCTGGAAAAATGAACAAAAATAACCATGTAGCTGCCAAATTAGATCAAACATGTCTTTGGTGTGGAAATAATGTTACTTACATTTGTTACATTAAAATTGGTGATACTTTGTCCCTATCTGTATGTCGTGTTTTACTATCATATCCATATGGCATGATGAGCTCTGCCACCACTTTCCAAAGAGGATCTGTATGCTTTGCACAGCAGTCTGTCAAAATTATTTTTTGAGAAATGCTGAAAGTTTCAAAGAGGTTTTCGTACTAGAAGTATTCTAATATGTGAAGAATTCCACCCAGGGGGTACAAAATGACCTCAGGGCGTATAGGGTTAATAAGTAAAAAGAATACTCTATACAAAATTTTTAGCAATTCTGGAATTTGATAACAAAGAAATTACAGTACATTAAAAAAAATGTTTGACCTACTTTGGCAGATACATGGTAAGATTTGAAAACCAACAATTTGTATTGACTGCTCATCGAGAAGAGACACTAGAAAATTAAGAATAAAAGACTGAAATGCCTTTTGGTTTGATACCAGTTACTAATGAATAATTAGCACTCAAAGTTATGTACATTTTTTTCTCAACGCTACGCTTCGAAGACATCGATTTGTAAAACGAGTAATTTGGTACTTGCAGATAAATTTAGCTGCCTCAAAGCTCTTAGTTAAAGTTCTCATAATTTGATTATAAAGTTCATGGCTTTTTGCTGATGAAATTATGAAGAAATAGTTTGGATTTTGTGAATATAAGGACTACTTTATTTCTAAGTTGCCAATAGTTTATATGAAGAGATTGTTATTTGTGGTTGCTGGTGTTCAAATCTGATTTTTAGTCTGCTTTCATCAGATCAATTTGCAAGTGTCGCTGGTATATGGTTCTGTGGCTGCAAGGAATGAGATCATGAAGGCAGCAGCTTACAGAAAACTCAAGAGGATTTGGCGAGAGGTAAGAAGTTTTTTAATTTTTTTTTTATATTTAAAAAAAATCATTCTTCATTAACCCTATCTGTATGTTGTGTTTTACTATTGTATCCTTACTATGTGGGGAACTCTGTGCCACCACTTTCCAAAGAGGAAATTTACTTGTTAATCTGATCCGTATGCTTTGCAAAGCAGTCTGTCAAAATTATTTTTTGAGGAGTACTGAAAGTTTCAAAGAGATCTTCTTACTAGAAGTATTCTAAAATGTGAAGAATACAACCGCGGGGGTAGGTATTGTCTTGGGCTGTTTTCCAACATGTTATAAGGTTGAGGAAGATGACTACCTGATGACAACCATGTGACCTCATCACTCGTGATGTTTTATATTTCAAAATAAACACCTGGTTGTTGTTTCTTTTTCGAGCTAACTGAGACTCCTACGAATCTGTTGTTTAGGGGCCTCTTATCTAACTTGTAGATAGTCCTTATTAATCCTTATTTTATGTGAAGCAGAGACGTTGACCAACAAATTGCTATTTTGTTAAACTCTGTTAAGCAATCAGGATATTTTGAAAACATTTTGGTAATGTGATCTACGAGCTGTCACAGCTGTATTAGTTTTCAGGTTTTTGACTTCATGACATTTGTGGTGACGTTTGTTGCTGTGTTCAGGTGCCTGGTTCTGTGGAGAAATGTTCGGAGATTGTCACCCAGCTGGAGCCCAGCTTCCACAGCCTACCTCTCATTGCCTACATCATGACTTTCCTTGCCAGCACCTCGGAGAACAGTCTTCTTCAAAAGTACAAGGTATTATAAGGCTGACTTTTTCTATAGTGGATCTATCTAGTATATTTGAAAAATGGGAAGCATGCTGTTCTTCAATTTGTAGGTGAAAGAAATTTTGATAGTTGTTGTATATTGTGGAACTTGTCATGCTTGTTCAATTTTTGTGAATCGGCTGAGGGAAATGTGTGGCTATTTATCTTGATTAAAGCCTCATTTTTGCAAAAGAGTAGAAGATAAAATGAAGTAAAATTTGAAGTGGTGATAGTAGTAGTGTTGTAACTTTAAAGATTTTTAATGAATATTTCTTTCTCATTTCTCAGAAATTGTTCCTGGAGATTTATCTGAAACAAGTGATTGCAAGCAGAGTGGCTCCCCCTCTGTGGGTCTTGGTAAGTTTTTGTTTGTTTGTGGCTGTTCATCCTCATTCTCTTATTCATGTTTTATTGGTGTTTGGTGGGTGCTCTGGTGCGGTTTGCTCCTTCTTTCCTGTCAAACATCTATCATCATTACCTCATGGCCGTTGAGTCTAATGTAGTGTATTTCACGTTTTATGCACAGCATGTTGGGTGAGTGGCTGGAGGGTGCCACTGGCAGGTCTTACTTCTTTAATCCCGGTACGAAATGACCGTGTTATGTTTGTGTAGATGTGCTTCTCTTTACTCAAACAAACAGTATGTTGGGACATTTCCAAAGTTTAGATGTTTTTCATTTATTGGGACAAAAGAAATTCTTCTCATAGATGAACGATGGGTGGCTGGCGGGTGCTCTGGTATGGTTTGCTCCTTCTTTTCTATCAAATATCTATTGCCCTTTTCTCTCCTACTTCTTTTTTTTGTGTTTGCTACTCTTTTGTAACGTCTCCAATCTTCAATACTTAAATAAATTAGTATGTTGCAACTGCCGTGTAATGCTTACTAAAACTTACAACGAATCTTTCTTTCTAAAAAGAATTCCAACTCGAGTCTGTTGTCTGTTCTCGAAGCAAGTATTTGGTGGGCTCTCTCTTGTGGGCTGCTTTTTGTACTTATTTTCAGTGTTACTCTGACCTGAGTGGGTGGTTAGTGGGTGCTTTGGTACTTTATCTTCCCTATCAAACTTCTATCGACTCTATCTCTCCTCCTTCTTTTTTGTGTATGTTATTCTTTTGCAGCACTTCTTATCTTCGCCACTTATATGTCCTAGTTGTGTTGCTTGGGCTGTAAAACTTACTAAAACAAAGTACTCATGTGTTGCTTCTGTCCCGTGCAGCTGAGTAGTGCTGAGCTGCTGCGACATGTGACCCATGAGGAGTTCAAGGAGCAAGTCTTACCTGCCGCCCAGAAGGCCATGCTGAGGAGCCCGGAGGTCATTCAGGAGGGTATGTTTGTGTTCTCGCTTTCTCCTTGTCTGTCTGTGTCTGTCTGTCTGTCTGTCTGTCTGTCTGTCTGTCTGTCTGTCTGTCTGTCTGTCTCTTTCTCTCTCTGTCTCTCTCTCTCTCTCTCTCTCTTTCTTTCTGTCTCTGTTTCTGTCTCTCTCTCTCTCTCCCTCTCTCCCTCTCTCCCCCCTCTTTCTTGCCTCTAACGGGTACTGGAGGAGCTGATTTTCTGGATGAATTTGGATTTCTGAAGTTGTCTGGATTTAGTAATATACTCCTGCTTGTACATTTATTTTAATTTGATTCTCTTTTTCAGGCAATATTGACATTTATATAAAATAGTCACAAGATGCATCAGCCAATGTGATTTGTAAATTTGTATATTTGAGTACCTTCGCACACGTTTCCTTAGGATTCGAAAAGTTAAAGATTTAAAAAAATTTGTATACATTCCTTCCGCTAACCTGGAAATTTATCACTTTAATCAGTGCTGGTAGCATTCAGAGCAGACGATCCAAGAGACTGGACCTAGAAAAGGTGGATTCCCAAGCCAGAAGTAGGTTATTTAAGGAACTTCTGCTCGGAGTTTGCCTAAATGGTATTGGTGAATCTTTCTCTCCTCAGCCGTGAGTGAACTTATTCGCTCTGTCAAGCTGGACCTGAGTCCGTACACAGGAGACATCACCAAGCTTTATTCAGGTCAGTTCTAATAATTTAATTGTTTCCTCCTCTTCTACACACTTTTGGAATTAGTACTCTTTTATAGGAGTTGGTAATAGTAAAGAGCACTTCTATTGACTTACTATATTTTACTTTACTTCACCTACACTAACTACCGCTTCCCACTTTTGTTTTTTTTCTTTTTTTCTTCTATATGTGTAATGACACAATCTCAGACAACCACCTTTTCTGTTGACAATGGATGGCAGTCATGGACAATTTCGACTATATTTTCACATTTTGTTTCATATTTTACTGAATTATTTTTAAAATAAGTTTTGTTTTTGGTTTAATTTTGTTCCAGGTCCCATAGCATCTAAAGAAGAGCGTTCAAGAAGTGTTGCCGTACAGGCCATGAGGAACCTGGCGGTGCAGTGCAGTGACCCCGGCGCAGTTGAGAAAGCGGCAGGCAGTCTGTTCAAGGTGCTTGGTGGTAAGTGGTGGCCTGAGGTTACATTTGTCAATGCTGCTGGTGAGGAAATATTTCCACCCCTTTCCCATCGTGAAATTATTTATTTGTCAGTATAAAGGCAATTTTCTGTTACTTAAAAAAAATTGTCAGACAGTTGCTATCTGTATTTTTATTAAATTGTGTCACAAATGTTCGTTTTTTTTAATGAAAATTTTTGGGATCAAATGTTTTCACCAAGTTTTTAGGGGTAAACATTAGAAGATTTTCCTTATAGCACATTACTCTTAATTTTAGGCCTGTTTTTCGCTGGAAGACGTGGATTTGATTATTGTGTGGGGAAGTTATTTTAGCAAGTCTTGTATCTCCATCGATTGGGTCGCGAAACATTTAACATCAGATCAAACTGGTGAAATATCTCTTTTAACAAGTTAGCTTGAAATAAACTTCTACTCGGCAGCAACTTTCCTTTTTTTTTTGTTTGGCTTGGACATATATTTGTATGCGCCCAATCTCTGTGCACAGGTTCGGAGGGTAAGCTGACATTTGCCGATCAAAAGATCAGCGTTCTCCAAGGCATCGGGAACTTGGTCCACAACACAGTGAGTGGCACACTGTCCCTGCAGTCCCTGAGCAGCACTGTGTCAGAAATGTTTCTGCCTACACTTCAACAGGAAGGTGAGCAGTAGTCCCTGGAGTGTGAGCATCAGTGCATTGCTGTGTCTGTCAAGCTGGGTTTAAAAAGAAAATCCGTGTCTTTGATTGAGTGGAGGAGAGGGAAGGAGATTTTATCTGCTCTGACATGTCTCTCCCTTGTTAGGTCTGTCATAATTTTTCTTCTGGAGAAATGTGTCTGCTATGGCGCAGACTCTCACTCTCTTTCTCTTTCTCTCTCTCTGTCTCTCTGTCTCTGTCTCTGTCTCTGTCTCTCTCTCTCTCTCTCTCTCTCTCTCTCTCTCTCTCTCTCTCTCTCTCTCCATCTCTCCCTCCCTCTCTCCATCTCTCCCTCCCTCCTCCCCCACCCTCCCTTTTAGCACTGTGGTGTTCTAAGTGGTCAGCGATGCCGACAGCACGCAAGAACTCAATACTCACTCGTGGGGTCCTTAAAAAGTGCTGAAAGTGGGTCACTAAAATGCCCCGATGCGGACTCCCTTCAAACTGTAACTTTTCTTTTTGCATTCTTGCTTTGTGTCAGTACTGAATGACTCGTATTGTGCAGATTTGTTTCTGTTGAAATCAAGCTGATGAAATGAGACTGGTCTCTTTGATATGATAGTTGTTCACCTCCTATGGGTGGTTGGAGGATGCCAATGGTAGATCTCACATTGTTTATCTTTTCCGTCTGTTATTTCTGTCTGTCCGTCTTGCTTTTTCCACACACTAAATTATGACAATTATTGCGTGGATGTGTTCTGTTTACTCAAACGAACAACCCAACTCTGATATGACCTAAATTGTGTCAAAGGTCGCATAAAACAAGTACAAATGGCAGATGAACTAACGTGTTGTTGTGTATTGTTTCAGTTCATGAGGGCACTTTGGTTCATGCCCTGTCTATGCTGAGTCTGTGGTGTGCCAAGTTTTACACAGCAGTTCCCGACAAGTTGATTCAATGGTTTCAGGTTGGTTCCTATATCTAGACCCGCTGAGTGCCCTAATAATATTGGAACTTTTTAATTTATATTGCTTAAACACCTTTTTATCACTGAAAAGAGTATACAGTATTGAGGGTGATGTGAATTTCAACCTCATTTGTAAATTTGAAAAATGATTCCATTAGCTTGTATGTCCTTCATTTTCATCATTCAATGGATTGAAATGTTTGTCAATACCTTATTTAAGAAATTTCTGATGCAGGCTTGTCAACTGTTCCAAATTTCTGGGGGACTGTCCCGGATTCAGGCATCAGAAATATGTAGCTTTGTATGCTGTGCCAAAACCAGTCCCATCTTTTGAAATTATATTTGTTAATATTTAATCTGATGTTATTTCATTGGGTTTCCCTGATTAGGTTTTGAAAAGTTGGCAAACCTGCAGACTTCTAGCTGTGTTAGTTTTCACTTGTAGCCACCTCTGTATTTTCTCTTTTTCTACTCACCTGACCGTAGATGAAATTGATTATATATTGTTTCTGATTAAGAAATGTTATTTTTTTGTTTTTTTGTTATTGTGCAGAAAGGCCTTGCCTTGAAGACTTCAACTTCAGCTGTGAGATATGCCTACATACGATGCATGAATTCAGCATTTAGAGGTAAGATGTAGCCTGTGCATTCATGTGCTGCTATATTTTTTTTTTGGCCCTAAACTGTATTTGCAGAACAGGCTGTTTCTGTATTAAGAAAAGTGACTCACGTACCATTGCTCAAAACAAAATTGCTGCAATATGGCATCCAATTATGATATTATTACAGTTACTTTTGTGTGGTTTGTTCTTTCTTTCTTATAAAACGTCTTATCTTCCTGATCTCTCCATTTTTTATGTGTTTGTTGCTCTCGTAACACTTCTAATGTGCAGCACTTGTATGACCTTATCCTGTTGCAAGTGCCACTAAACACTTACTAAAACAAAAACAACCCTCAACTCCTGCATTTGTATATGAGCTATTTGTGTTGTGAGTGCAGTAAAACTAAAACGCTTATTGAAAAATTCGAAAGAATTATTATTCATCTGTGTCATTTTTGTCCGTGGGTGGTTGGCGGGTGCTCTGTTGTGGTTTGCTCCTTCTTTCCTATCAAACATCTGTTGTCCTTATCTCTTCTTCTTTTTTATGTATGCTACTGTGTTGTAACACATCTATTCTTTGGCCATTATAGGACCTTATTGTGTTGCAAGTGCCGTCAAACTCTTACTAAAACTGAAAATAATGAAATTGGAGAAACTGGCATTTTCAGCCAGTTTGGCAATTTTTTCTAATTTCATTTTGTGTGTGCTCAACACCTTTTATGTCCTTATAAAAACAAACATGTTTCCATGTGAACTTCACTGAAAAACGTTGATTAAAGGCTCAAAATATATAAATTTTCAGTTTTTAAAGGCTCTCAAGTGATTGAATTTTCAAACTCAGATGGCTATTTTCTCTCTAATTTTACCTCTGAAATCAGGTGACCAACACCTCTTTCGATTACAAACTTCTCGAATTGTATTCAAAATAGATGGATATTTTTTTCGCCAAAAAGAAGGCAAACGAAAAGGCTTTACCATGATACTTCTCCATATGCTAAAAAATTGACGAGCGCCTGACTCCACCTCGCTGTGACACAAATGTTTTTGTCCAGGTGATACCCTGCCTCAGATGACTCCGCTCTTGCCTGTGCTGCTGCAGACACTGGAGAAGGCGGAGAAACAGCCGAGCCAGTCGCAGCTGGTGGCAGAGGCCGTCGCCGCTGCTGGCCTCTTGATCAAAATTGCTTTGGTGGACATACAAGCAGGTAGGACTAGAGCTTTGTCTCGTAAAAGACCACCCAAAAATGCCAGTATCTGTGCAGTCTAGAGACAAATGGATCTAGTCCCAACCACAAATTCAGACACACACTGACCCAGCTTCAACTAAATACTCTTTGTCAAACTGTGTCTTACAGTGTGTGTGTGTGTTTGTGTGTGTGCGCGCGCACACGTGTGTGTGTGCACGCATGTGTGTGTGTATGTGTATGTTTTTTGGATGTGTGATGGGCATTCGTTTATTTCATGCAAAAGTAGGTGGTAGTGACAGAAACATGTATGACATGTGTCTATAAATGTTGATACTGAATGGTGGAACCTTTTGTAGTGTGAGTCTTTTCTTTATTTTGTGCAGAGTCCAAGCTGGGCCCGTTCTGGACTATGGTGTTGGACAGCAAGAAACAAATTTTGGTGAATGACAAGTTCCTCTCCTCTGCTTCCGAAGACAGTGAGTGTTCAAATGTCTTTACTTTGTTTCATGCCATCATTTTATGACGCTGATAGAACTGAAATAGATATTTCATGGCTAGAATTGTAAACTACAGAAAGAAAGGAAATGTCGCCTATAGCTCAGTGGTTTAAGATAACGTACCCTGTTGGTTTTTTAACGTCACAGCTGAAAGAAATGTAACCTGACTCTGCTTGCTGTCATTCGCTAAACAGTAATATTTTATGAAGCTTCAAACGGTCGACACACTCCACGGAACATTACAGCAACTGCAGCAAACCTGCACTTATCACTACATGGCACTGGAAAGAAGGGCGAGAGCCCAGCTGTTGCTGCATCGATAACAACATAACAGCAACAAAGGTTGGGATCAATGATTTTTGCCAGAAAATAGGGTGAACGATAACAATGGGTTACACTTTTTGTTCCCCCCAAAAAAGATACAGTAACTCTGCACACTATAATTATTGGGTTATACATCAAATGCTGGTTCTTTTAATAGCAAGTTTTAAGTTTTCATATTGATTATATCTCTTCTTTCAGTAAAGCAACTAAAGGTGTTGTGATTTGAAGAAAATGAATGAATAATACAGTTTGATCAGGAGGAAGGCCTTCAACCCGTATTCAAATAGAATCACAGATTAGTTGGACCCCTCCCTTGCTGTATACCCGTCTAAAATGCCTCCTGTTTTTTATCTTTTGACAGATCTGCAGAGTTTGATCTTCTTGCTGGAGCGATTGATCATGAACTTTCCTACGAAAATGACAGATGATGTAGCAAGGTTGGTATTTTTGTCACTTTTCACTAAACTCTGAGCTGCCATGGGCATATTTTTTGTGGACATTTCTCACTTTTCTCTAGCTAAACTCTTGACTAGGTGTGAATGAATTTTAGTAAGGCTCCTCGGTGATGCCCCATACATATGAGTAGATTGTTTAGAACATTTTTTTAGGCTGTTTTCTTGTAGACAGATGGTTTTTGTGACCTATTTTTATATAATATTAAACATGTCACAGATCCATAGTAGTTGTGGTCAACCTTGAAGTGAGAATTCCTATTCCCGCCCGGAGGAGTTTATTGAAAGTGTCTCCATCTTTTTTTTTTGGTGGAATGCTGCATCTCTCTCAGCCTGGGTTGGCCTGGACATATAGAATCAAAGTGGCTCATAGCTTTAGTGGTCTTAAACATGTCAATGAGGGCGTTATCAGTGACAATTGTTTTTAGACCAGGTAGTATGATGGGCAAGTATTTTTTCCTTGAAATAGAAGTTGTGAATATTCTGTGTCTTTTTGACTGTTGTCATGATAATCTATTTCTGGTAATGCATGGCCATACACTTTAACACAACAGATGGCTGACAGATGCTCTGATATGGTCTGCTCCTTCTTTCCGAACAAACATCTATCGTTCTTATCGCTCCTCCTTTTTTGTGTATGTTACTTTCTTGTAACTCTTTTAATTTTCAGCTTCAGTATAAACACTTCAACTTACCTACTTTTTGTCCCCTGCCAGGCCGTACTACCGTGCTCTGATCTTCTGCCTGTGCCATCGAGCCTGGCCCGTACGCCAGGCTGCCACTTCATGTTCCAGGAAGATTCTGGCCTTGTTGGGCGGGGCGCCAATTGCTCTAGCCCTTGTTCAGGAGTTTCAGTCTGTACTTGAATCGCAAAAGGTAAGTGTGCTGTTTGAAGCTTTTTGGCAGTCTTGATGAAAACTGGAAATGACAGTATTTCATCCGGCGCCTGTGATGTAGAAGTTAAGTGCTTTTCTGTAGCATGCAGAAGACCCAAGTTTGATTCCAGTGTATAGAGAATTTTTATCCTGGCTTTTCTGCTGGGACACCGTATCTCTCTCAGCCCAGGGTAGCCCTGATGGGTGCAATAGAAGCCAGCCTCTTTAATGAGCTAAATTGGTCGCTTTTAAGGACAAGTGGGCTAACCCTGATTTCGGGGGTTTCCAGAAATCTTGACCCACACCAAAAGTGGTCGTTGCCTTACGTCTATTAGGAGAAGTTTGATTTCATTGGTGTGTATATTTGTTTGGTTATAGAGAAAACTCTCCTTGTCTTTTTAAGAAACTGAACAAGGGTCCAAAAACTTTACCTTCGATTTTCTCAAAACAGCATTTTTCGTTGCTCTTAAGAGCGACCAATTGCGTTGATGAGGACGTCAAACACCTACTTAAAAAACCCAAACAAACCAGTATTTCATTTTGTTCTCCTTCTATTTACATATGCCAAGATAGTGCAATAATATTTTCTATCATTTTTTTAGCCTCATTGATAATAAATGATTTATTGCATACAACTGTTAGGTATAACTATCATTTGCCAAGTGCGGTCTCATGAAAAAATTTGATGTAACCTATAAAGTACAGCCGCTGCTAGTTTCTACTTTTACAATTACTTGTACTACATCTCCTCCTTTTCTGTTACTGTACCTTGTAATGGAAAGCTCACTTGTGGTTTGCGGATGGTTTGAGGATGCCGTTGTTTGTTTTTACAGTAAATAATTTGTCTTTAAAAAAAAAAACCTTGAGTGTAATTTGGGGGAGTACACATTGATTCCAAAATTGGCCCATTTTTTGTGTGTCACATGTGTAGTAGTAACTTGGGCGAATTTCTGACATGCTGGAGGGACTCGACATGAGTGAAGCCACACACCGGCAGTCAAACGTTCAGAATATTTAGTGCAGAAGTCAAGAGTACAACTAAAAAAAAACCCCAACTCAGTCTCTCACTGAACTCAAAACAAAGATGGGTGGATTGGAATGAATAAAAATTATTATCTTACGTTTTTTTTGTCTTATTGCCGTCTATCTATCCCCAGCTGTCAGATCTGCAGCAGACATTGAGCAGAGAAGAAGACGGTAAAGAGACGTCGGAGTCTTCGGCCAGTCGAGTGGTCTCCCCGGCCATCATAGCTAGCACTGTGCATACAATTTGTTCAGTGGAGAAGGTGGATCCTAAAGATGCTGAGAAGATCGCCATGGCAACCCTTATTCCAGCTCATCACCCTTACATTAGTAAGGAAAAAGACAAATAATTTTTTTTGGTTCTTATGTGTTTGTTTTTCGTTTGTGTTCGGGATTTGTGAGTGAGTGAGTGTGTGTGTGTAGGGGGGGGGGGGTGTTAAAAATAGATCATTGTTGAGGTACCGCCAGATATGGCCCAAGTGATAGTGTTATGATTTAATATTTCTGCTTTAAAGTTTGAGTAACATGCAGTGGTAGTGCCCAACATACAGCCATTTTTTTAAATCTAAAGAATTATGCAGGATTAATGTTGAATTCCTGTGCTCCTTTTTTGTTTGAAATGGTAGGAACGTTGTTGTAAGAGTATTAATGTTTTCCTCATCTTCAAATGTAATACTGTTAGACTAAACCAATTATATATTTAATGTCCAAATTATATATTTATTGTCATCAAAGAGGGAACTTAATCACCAACGTGTGTGGATAGCGCAGTGAAGCAAGCTCTCTTACTCAATGTTCTCTCTTCTTCTCTTGTCAATCTCAGTGTACGCAAAGAAGGACGTATGGGTGAGCATTCTGCGGTCCTTGAACTTGGACCCAGCCAACTTTGTGACCAGACACGCTCAGGAGTGCCTCGCCTTTGTCTGTACGGGGAATCGTCTCACTGAGGTAAGATCAGACATCACTTTGGCAACACTCATATTTCTTTTATTTTCCCCTTTGCTTGTGAGATGACTAGTTTTTATTTTTATGGTTTGATTGGGCGGGGTGTTAGTCTGAGGGGTACTTTTGGCTTCATTTAATAAAAACTTTGAAACTTGCGTGTGTGATGTACAGGGATGTAATTCTTCTGGCTTTTTCCGTTTTTTTCCGGCCGACTTGCCATTTGGGCCCCAGCTTTTAACAAAAGTCTACTACAAACAATACCTATTATCATATACTAAATAGAGATTATTTGTTGTAATAGAGGGAAAGAAGCAAATATGATTTAGTCTCACTGTATTTTTATTATTTTTATACGTGTGCTGTATATTTTCTTGCTTTTTTTTCAAAACCTGTTTACATCCTGGATGTAGCTCTTACGCCTTTTGCTTTGCCATGGTGTACAGAGGCCATGAGTTCAATTCCCATGTGGGGAGGTTTTTATTAAGTATCTTCATGTCTGCTTGTGCACCTTGTACTTCTCTTCGCTAAGACTGAATGAAATTTTTAAACTTTGTCTTTTTTCGTGTGAAGGCGGAGGAGAACCTGGTGTCCACCCTGGCTCTGGTCAGCCCCAGCGTGATTGGCCCTCAGCTGGTCACCTACGTGCAGACACTGCTGTCCGAGCCCGCCCTGTCTCAGGTGACCCAGGAGGAGTTTGGCATCTTCCTTACGCCGGAGGGAGAGCTCTACGACAGGTCCATCTTAGACAGGTGGGTAGCCGCATGTACTGAGGCTGAAAGACTGAAAATTTCACATTTGAGCCCTCTCTAATACATTTTGTCACTGCGCTGTCAAAGTAGTATAATTCAAGAGTTGTGCCAAAATGCAACTAGCCTTTTATTTATTTTTTTATTGTGCTATATCTATCTTTTGGTAAAACCAAAATGAAAATGTGCTGGCAGTTAGAA